TTTAAGTTAGAGTCTCACTGTTGCCCAGGCTAGAGTGCAGTAGCACATTCACAGCCACTGTAGCCTCGATCTGCTAGGCTTAGGTGATCCTTCTCCCTCAGTCTTCCAAGTAGCTGGAACTACAGGCCCATACCCAGCTAATTTTTTTATTTATTGTGGAGATGAGTTCTCACCATGCTCCCCAGGCTGATCTCGAACCCCTGGACTCAGGCATTTCTCTCATCTCGGCCTGCCAAAGTGCTGGGATTATGGCCCATCCTAGACCTTTTCATAGCACATTGTAGTTGATGGTCGAAATGGCAGCTGCTTTGTTTTTGTTAATTTCAAGGCTGCCAAAAGTTACACAGGTGATTCTTGATGTAGACTCACAAGAAGTTACTGATTGATACAATTTTGAAAGTGGTAAGAGTTTTAAAGTTGCTTCATGCTTTTCAAGCTTTCTGCAATGAGCATGCTTTACTTTTGCATTCTGAGAAAAAAACAAGAATGTATTTTTCAGGCTGGGTGCAGTGGCTCACACCTGTAATCTCAGCACTTTTGGAAGCTAAGGTGGGAGGATTGCTTGAGCTTGTAGCTGGGCAACATAGCAAGACCCTGTCTCTACAAAAAAATAAAATAAACCAGGTATAGTGGCAAGTGCCTGTGGTCCCAGCTACTCAGGAGGCTGAGGCAGAAGGATCGCCTGAGCCTTCTCAGGATGTCAAGGCTGCAGTGAGCTGCGATCATGCCACTGCACTCCAGCCTAGGCAACAGAGTCAGACCCCAAATCAAAAGTTATGTGATATATGACAAACAATATACCACTTTATTTTCATCTACAGGACAAGTTTGATACAAGACCAAGCAGATCTAGTCTTCTGCTTATGATACATAGAAAAATGGACTTTCATTTACCTTGTCTATGTGACAGGATCACCTCCAGTGCTCCTCACCCACCTCTTTCTAATCTCCGGGTGCTGATGTGCATCCCTGTCCTAGAGGAGACAGCACAGGTGGAAGTTGGAATCTCTCCTGCCTAATTTTCCTCATACGTAAAATGGGAATGATAATAGTGTGTGCTCCACAGGGTTGTTGTGAGGATTCAAAGGATTGATGTGTGTAAGGTACATAGAACTATGTGGACACATCATAAACACTATGTAAATGTTCAGTATGATTTTTACATCCTTTTTCTAGCGAGTCATTGCTTTTGGGAGAATGCCATTTTCCTTAAGCAGTTAAAGAAGAAAACATGATGGAAAGTAACTTAAGAGTAATGTGTGTTTCAAGGGCTATTGTCAGGTCACCCCCAGGTGCTGTCTCCCAGTGTCCAAGAATTTTAACATTTTCTGGAAATGGTATATATGTTAAAAGATGTATTTAACCTTTCTGTTGGCTGCTTTCTAGGGCCAGAGGAAGATCTTCCAAGGAAGATGGAATACTTGGAATTTGTTTGTCATGCACCTTCTGAGTATTTCAAGTCACGATCCTCACCGTTTCCTACAGTTCCCACCAGACCAGAGAAGGGCTATATATGGACTCATGTTGGACCTACTCCTGCAATAACTATTAAGGAGACTGTTGCCAACCATTTGTAGTTTATACATTTAAACAGGAGTTCCAGTGGTCTTCTATTCATACTACTACAAGACATGCTACATATTTCTTTAATGAAATTCTTAGTTGGAAGAGTGACTAAAAAAGTTTTTCCTACTACCCAGTAACATTGTTTATTAGTAGTCACTTAGAAAATTAAAAGGGATAGAAAGGAATGAAATATATTTTGAATTTAAACACTGTATTATATTCTGGATATGTCTTCCAGGCAAAAGCTGTAGGAGGAGACCATTAGGTACAGGTAGTCTATTTTTCTCCATATTTTATTTCTGGAAGCTCAAAATGGATTGTATTTTTCTACAAGAAAAAATATTAAGGGTTGGGTTTCTGACCAAAGGCTTCATAAGTAAAATTTAACTGACCATCAGTATCAGTCATGAAGCCACACAAACCTTATTTTCTCATCTAGAAAATGCTATGACAGACTTATGCTGCTTCAGCCATAAGGAAAGTGTTTCATGGATGACTTGATTAGCCCAAGCTTTATTAGACTTTCATCTACTTCTTCTGTAGCAAACTGGCACTCGTTGATCCCCAAACTGGTCTTAATAGCACTGTTTACTATTTCTTAGTCCAGATGAGGCTCCCAGTCAAACCATAGGATTTTATCATGCAGTCAGCCTTACCAAAGCCAAGTAAAAAACCTTAGGCCTCACTTGAGTTTCTTGACTACCATGCGAATGATGATTGGCCAGTCATAAACGTGATTAATAGGTCATTAGCATTGATGTCTTAAAGTCCACCCCAAGGTCAAGCCACCTGCAGTGGACCCGTAATCCAGACCGTCCTAGAAGCTTGTCTTAGCTGGGAAGGTCTGTTGTATATGTAATTGTCCAGAATTCAGGTGCAAGTCTTACTTCAGGTACAGCCAGTTAAGGGAGAAGCATGTAAAAATAGGGCAGGAATGGGGTGACACCCTTGCCTCTTCTGTCCTGATGTAACCAGCATTTTTCAACTCTAGGAAAATTAGTCAGAATCTGAGTTGATACAGTGATTTTGAGCTGTAGCAATTTTAACTCTTGACCTTTTTCTACACAGTTCATTTGTGAGTTTAAGAAGCAGTGTTAAATAGCTCCATGTCCATAATTTATCTCTTTATTTAAAACTGCTATGTAGTACGATTGTAAATAACATTGTAAATAACTTTCTAAATGCTATTGTTCAAACTTTTGCATTAAAATGTACTTTTCACTGATGTATTTACTTTGCATTTATTTTATTTAAACAATTTAAATAGCACCTTCTACCCAAAAATGGTATTTTAAAAAAATAAGCGTTAGCCAGGCTTGGTGGCTCAGCCTGTAATCCCGCGCCTTTGGGAGGCTTAGGTGAGTGGATTGCCTGAGCCCGCGGGTTCAAGACCCACCTGGGCAGCGAGACTCATCTCTACAATAAATCAAAAAATCAGCTGGGCATGGTAGCGCATGCCTGTAATTCCAGCTACTCAGAAGGCTGAGGAGGAAGGATCGCTGGAGCCCAGCAGGCCACTGCACTCCAGTCTGGGCGACAGAGCGAGACTCCAACTCAAAAAACAAAACAAACCAGTGTTATAGTACTTATAATTTGGAGTAGACTAATTCATCATCAATAAGTAGTAGATTTTAGAAAAATCACAATGGCAAATTGATAAAACGAGCACTTACTATTTAAGATACTTATTAAAATAAGGACTTTATTTAAAAAAAAACCAAAAAACTGTAAACTGACCACTTGTCTATACTTTAAAAGATACTTGTCTTTTAAAATAACGGAATTTTCACTTTCCTCCTCAGCCAGCGTGATGGCTCCCATTGCTGACAGGTAACTCTCCCATTTGCAGAGGCTGTGCTGACGGGGCCTGGCCTGTGTCCCCAGCCCTGTTCCCTTGCCACTGCCAAGAGGTTTCCCCCGCACACCATCCTGTTTCCTGCTCTGAGTCCTTGTTCGCACTACTCCTCCCCCAACTTTACCAAAGGCCTCTCTTAAAGCCCTCAGATTTTCTCTGTGGATGACCTTTCCAGATTCCCATAGCTCCTTGAAATCAGTCTGACTGTGTCACTGCATGTAAGTTTTTACTTCTGTTGTCCCCACTCCCACCCTTCTGTTTTATTTACTCATCTTTCAACTCCCACAGCATCATTCATGGGCGATGCTTTGTGTCGAGTCCAAATTAGATTGTTGACCAAAATGCTTTGTTGAGATTTTAGATACTGGTTCATGCTAACTTTGATGTAAACTTCAAATTCTACTGTGAATAGTCAGCTCAAGTAGAACTCCAGATTGTGTTCTGGATTGGTATTAGGTTACTTTAAATTTTTATTGTTAGTTTTTTGGAGACAAAGTCACCCTCTGTTGCCCAGGCTGGAAGGCAGTGGCGCTGTCAGTTCACTGCAACCTCAAATTCCTGGGTTCAGGTTATCCTTTCACCTCAGCTGGGCATCTGGGAGAGGCATGTGCCACCATACCTGGCTTTTTTTTTTTTTTAATTTTTGTCTCACTTTGTTGCCCGGGCTGCTCTTAAACTGGTCTCTGGTGATCCTGTGGCCTTGGCTTTCCAAGGCACTGGGATTATAAGTGTGAGCCACCATGCCTGGCCTAGATTGTTTTCAAGCAAGATGTTTTTCAGATGAGCTTTAAGTAGTTCTCTTACATAAACTATAACGAACGTTTGAAAAAACTATTCCAAACCATTCTGGTTCTTGGTGAAAGACTTTTCCAGGACTAAAAAGTTTTCCAGGTGGGCATGGTGGCACACAACTGTAGTCCCAGCTACTCAGGAGGCTAGGCGGAAGGATCACATGAGCCCAGGTCAAGGCTGTGGTGAGCTGTGATTGCGCCACTGCACTCCAGCCTAGATGACAGTGAGGCTCAAAAATAAAATAATCTCCCTGCTAGTAAGCAAATGCCTGGTTTGAGTTGCCACAATACAGTCCTGTCTCCAATCCAACTCTCAGACCTAGGAATGAAGAAACAAAGTATCCAGGGAAAGGGCCCTGCAGAAATGACAAGTGCCAAGAATCACCAAGCCTTCCTCAAAGGCTCCAAGACCACTGCCGAAGTGCCCTGGGAAACGGACATGCCAGAGACAGACACTAGGTCTGCACGAACACTAATTCTTGGGGACCTAGGATTCTGCCTGGCCTGCTTGTCAGAGTGAAAGCACTATTGTCATATTGAAGGGGGTGGCCCCGGCAAAAGTGGAGATGGGAAATCTTCTAAGGGAGAACTTTTGAGCAATATATATACTCTGTTTTGTCAGGAGAGAAAGATGTCTGACATAAAAATTTATGCTGATTCATAGATAATGGCTAATTACCAGATGGTCAGAAATTTGGTAATAAAGTAGCCCAACTAGCTATGAGGTCTGGGGGAGGGTATGCCCAGAGTTCTTAGAATGGGCTCATAGAATATTTGGTCCTGTCTGAATGCTCAGCTAAACTCACTGCATGGGGAGACAACTTTGTGGGACTGGGGCGCTGCCCTACGAGATACAGCACATTCAGATATGCCGTGAGCCTGTGACCATGGCCTTCACGCAGAATCTGAGAACCAAAGTGCAAGAGGGCACCACATCTCAGTTTATACCAAATGACGCGCAAGATCTTTGCTTCCATTCCCTGCAAATTCGGGGCTTTGCTGGTTTAGAGGTCACCAAAGGAAGAATGCTTCCAGTGGTTCGGAAGGGGAGTTTTGATGTTGGCTGAATGAACTGATTCTAATGAAGGAATGGAGCTGTCGCTACAGACGGGGGGGGGGGGGGGGGGGGGGGGGGTGTGTGGAAAAAGTGGTCAATGACCATATTTGACGGAAGACTGCACCTGTAGACAGGCAGGCTTCCCCATGTTCAGATGGGAACGAGGGTTTCAGGCTACACTCCTAGAGAAGGTCACTAATCCATGGATGCACTGGAAGTCAGAGGACATGGGCTAAGGAACAGAACAGAGCAAAAAAGTCCCAGCCCTGGCCTGCGGACTGGCTGCAGAAGGGACAATGGCTGCTCTGTACATCCCTTGGTGTGGTCTCATGGTTTCTTTAGCACATTTTATTATTTTTTTGTGTTTCCTTTTCCCCATTCCTACATAGTTAGAGATTAGAGACAACAGTTTGTGCTGATGGTGGCTGACTTCACAATTTAGTTACTAGGTTAAACAATATATCAAGATAAAATGCTGGAACCAGGAGAGTAACATGTATCAGACAGACGTGATCTCACTTCTGGCTGAGGGGATATTAGATGTGTCTGAACTGGGTATAAATTCCACATTTTTTATATAAGAACATAAAACTGGATCAGTAGATAACAGGATATTTTATTTCCAAAACAGTCAAGAAGCTGCTAAGCATAAAATCTGTCAGAATGCTATAAAGATGTTGAATGTGCAACTGTGAGCTCCAAGAAATTTATTTAATTACATTCTCTATTATCTTTTCTTCAAAAGAGAAATAAATTCTGCCACTTGGCCAATATTATTTCATTTGAAGATTTAAAATATATTTATAGGAAATAAAATACAGAATCATTTATAAATATCCCAGTTTATTCTACAGTATTAATCTCAAGTAATCCTGATAATTACATAATCGCAGCATTTACCAACCTGTGATTTTACAGATTAAACAAATTTGTTAAATTACAAAAAAATTTACAGACACCATTTTTTTTTTTTTTTTTTTTTTTTTTGAGTTGGAGTCTCACTCTGTCACCCAGACTGGAGTGCAGTGGCCGGGAGCGGCCACTGCAGCCTCGACCCACTGGGCTCCGGTGATCCTTCCGCCTCAGCCTTCCGAGTAGCCGGAATTACAGGCATGTGCTACTGATTTTTTATTTATTTTTGATTTATTGCAGAGATGAGGTCTCATCAAGTTGCCCAGGCGGGTCTCAAACCCGCGGGCTCAGGCAATTCAATCACCTCAGCCTCCCAAAGTGCGGGATTACAGGCTGAGCCACCAAGCCCGGCTACAGACACCATTTTTTACTGTTACAACACAGGGTGAAGCCAGGAAAAAAAAATCAGAAGTATATTTTATGCTAAAGTTACTTTCTGTCCAGGCCGAAACATTATTCCACTTTGGTTTTTCCTCTTTTTTGGATTCTGAAAGCTTTCATATCTTAAAAGAGTGAGAGAAAGAGATAACATTTAATACATGTAAACTATAACTACAAAACAACAGTTACAAACCAAGAGATAATGGATTGTTTGCAAACAATTATATTTTAAGAAATGAAAGGGAAATAAATTAGGAAAAAAATACTTGTAACAGAAGTTAGAGAGAGTCTTACAAATAAAGTTTCTAAAGTTGCACTCCAACAGAAAAAGCAGCGAAGAGGATGAAGGGACAAGCTAGAGAAAGACAGCAGGGATACAAATGGCAAGGAATAATATTAACATTATAACCTTTCCCTAGCTTTAATCAAAGAAAGGTACATTGCTAAATGAAATATGTTTTTTCTCCAATCAAAATGGCTGAGTTTAGGCAAACAGCGATACCCAGTGTTAGTGGCAGTATAGTAAGTGGAACAGGCACTCTATCACACAGTTGGAATGTTCAGAGGCAATTTGGGAATACATTTTGAAAGTCTTAAAAAGTGTGAGTCCCGGCCGGGTGCAGTGGCTCAAGCCTATAATCCCAGCACTTTGGGAAGCTCAGACGAGGGGATTGCCTGAGACCACAGGTTCGAGAACAGCCTGGGCATCTCGGCAAGACCTCATCTCTACAATAAATCAAAAAATTAGCTGGGCATGGTAGTGTGCACCTGTAGTTCCAGCTACTTGGAAGGCTGAGGTAGAAGGATCGCCTGAGCCCAGCAGGTCAACGCTGGGGTGGCTGTGAGCGTGTCATTGCACCCCAGCCTGGGCAATGGAGTGAGACTCCATCTCAAAAAGAAAACACGAGTCCCCTGTGATGCAACCATTCTACCTCTAGCCCAGTGGAATTAAGCATATGCAAACATCCAGCTAAAGAATGTTCATGACCATGCTGCTTGCAACAGTGAAAGCCTGATGCAAGGTAAATGTGAAATGTAAAAAAGAATGTTCGAGATGTATATGGAGGGATGAAAGGGGAATGGCTATGCAGCCATACATGCAGAGTGTTCTTATTTGAGCAGGAAAAATATACAAGTATACAAACAAATGTGCTTTGTGAGGTGGGGGGTGAAGGGACATTTCTATTTCCTGTTTTCCTTACCTTTGTTTTCTGAATTTTTACAGTAAGTACATATTAGTAATGTACACACACACATACACACACACACACACACACACACACACACACTCTTAAGTACCATAAAATTAAGCAAGAAAGGGCTGCAGCTTCCAAAGGCTAGGAACGTATTAGTAATGTATACACACACACACACACACACACACACACACACACACACACACACACACACACTAAGTACCATAAAATTAAGCAAGAAAGGGCTGCAGCTTCCAAAGGCTAGGAATAAACTTATTTCTTGAATTGAATTATGCTGAATCACTGATTTAGAATAGTTGCCAGTCTATGAGTCACAGATTCACAGGTGGCCATAGTGTTAATCCAAGAAGCCTATCAATCCAAATGTGTACTGAATATGGTCCACAAATGAATAAATTTGAATGTGTTTAAATGTTCTTGAGATTAATAAAATACAAATTATTTTGAAGATAAAACAGGTCTATTTTTTCATAACAAATTTTGTAAACTCTACTAGAATCATTTTGAACTTTTAATTTTCCTCATTTCTTCAACATTACTAAAATCAAATTAGTTCATTATAAATAATTTAAACATAATCAAATGAAATGATTAATGAAAATTCAATTTTGACTTCTGCTTTTCTGAAATTTTTGAGTGTTAAAATGCATACTTACTACCCAAATGTTCCAAACTGGTGTTAAATATTCAAAATATTATTTTTGCTTTTAAATAAGAACTTTAAAGGTTTAAGTGAATAACTGTGTCACCTGTAATATCTACACTTCCAAATCAGAATCTGGTACTTACAGCTGGGCAAAACTCTTCCAGTCATCTTCATTAATAGACGGTCTCGTGTGGCTGAGTGCAGTCATTAGATGTGACTGACTAATAGCCAGCCTGGTTTTGATTGATCCCGGTTGGTTAATGGATTCATCCTCCTTAAATAAAACAAAAAACAGAAAGCTAACTAACAAAGGGGTGTGATGAAAAAAGGGGCAGTCAAGTATTATATTTCTTTCTGTCAGTTTTTTCAGATATATACATACGTTCTCTTTCTTACGAGATAACCAAAAATTATCTGAAAGCAAGGAAGCACATAACCATTTGACTGAGTCAATGTGTTTTAGCCCCTTGTTTATAAATATGTCATTTATAAATCAAAGAAATACTTATCATAAAAGGAAAAATAATTTTTAAGTTTATAATCATAATAAAGAAAGGAAAACGCCATACTCCACTTTGGCTCCGGTATCTGCCTTTGATCACACTGATATCTGCCCTCAGTTGCTCTCTCTGCTCTTGTGTAAGTTCTTGGCAACCCTCTTGAGAAGCTGTCCTTAACACGGGAGGCTGTGAAAATGATGGATCTTTCCCAGAAAATCCAGGCAAATCCTGAGTCAGGGAGCTTGGTGCAGACAGACATTGTGAGCTCTGTGTGGGTTGTTATAGAAATGAAGATGGAAGGAAGGAAGGAAGAAGGGAGGGGAAAAAAGAAAGAAAACTGTATGTTTACCAAGGATAACAATTAAAAAACCTAAGCACTAAAATCTTTCTCTTTTTTTTGAGTTGAAGTCTCACTCCGTTGCCCAGGCTAGAGTGCAGTGGCATGCTCACGGCCACCCCAGTGTCGACCTGCTGGGCTGAGGCAATCCTTCTGCCTCAGCCTTCCAAGTAGCCGGAAATACAGGCATGCACCACCATGCGTGGCTAATTTTATTTATTAGAGATGAGGGCTCGCTAAGTTGCCCAGGCTGTTCTCGAACCCGTGGGCTCAGGCAATCTTCTCCCCTCGGCCCACCAAAGTGCTGGGATTATAGGCTTGAGCTATCTTGCCTGGCCTAAAATCTTAACATAAATAAGCTTACATGTTAATTAACTGAAATTAAGCAAATGAAGTTGTTTACATTCTATAAAGTTTCACTGATATCAGTGTTGCAGAAGCACTGCAGCATGCAAACAGCCATAATACAGGATGAGGTTTTTTATGCTCTGTTGCCTAAACCCAACATACTCATGTGCAAGGGTAGGTTCCAGATGAGCCTCACTCTTATTTTCAACAAATAAAGTTATACTAAGATCCTGGGAAGTTTCTAGGTTGAAGTCAAGAAATAGAGAACAGGGGCAACCCTCTCAAGTTCCCTCCCACTGTGAGAGCTTTTCTGTCCTCAATAAATCCTGCTTTCTAAAAAAAAAGGGGGGGGGGAACAGAGTTTAAGACTAAAATTAAAACACATCTTACTATTCTTGGGAATACAAACATGTCACTTATATATTTTTTAAAAACTTGAATAAAGCAAGTGTACAAAAAACACGAAAAGTATAGCTAAACATATGTAAAAACAGCTAAACATACATGCCAAAAAAGGAAAGGCGAGTCACATTTATTAATGTTGAGGGATATGTGTTGAATGCTGGTGGACACATATGAGTTGAACAGTGTGTCAAACAGCAACACTGCCCACATTTAATCTCAACATTTTCCATGAAACATTACTACTTTTACCGCATTTATACTTTCTAGGAAAAGTATCACTGGTAGATAACATTTTCTTGTCAGGAATTTATGACATTATTATATCAAATTTCTCATTATCCTCAACTATTCTATGATAACAGAATTTAAGTTTACTATAAAACGGATCTGCTAATAAAGATGTTTTAAAACAACTAACTAAGAGAGAGACACCTGAGAGAAACCTGAGAGAAACCAAAAGGGAAACACAGCCACTGCCCTGTCTTGGACACCTTAACAAAGAATGAACATTACTGACTAGAATAAATAAGAAAACAAGACTGTTTTTCTGAAGAACCAACCAATCAGAAAGAATACATGAGGCAGGACAGGAGACAAATCACTGCCCAACTTTATATCAATGCACGGCTTATTTCAGAACTGGGAGATACCAGGTCAGAAGAGGTTCCATTGCCAAGTTCTGATTCGTAAGAGCTTCCAAAGTAGAGCCGGTATATATTGAACCTGGATTCATCTGGAAGGACCTCTGACATCTCCAGAGAAACAAGGGACTGGCCCAAGCCACACTCTCCATCTCCAGCTGAGTCGTCAGAACCACTGCTGTGGTTGAGAAAGACCATTGAAGACAGACTGAGGTCACTGTCGGAGCTGGAACTTGCATCCTAAGATACACAGAGGACAGCCAGTTTAAAGATCTGAACAGTCCTGGCTCTGAAATAAACAACATCACAGGACAGCATTCTAAAAGAGCAGCATAAGGACACCCATGGCATTTACCAAAGACTTATTAATTCTCTAGTGGTTGTGAGACACCAAGACATAACTATTTAAGATAAGGAAAGACAAGATGGACAGTGTAGATAGTCTGTCAGCTAGCTCCTCAAAAAGCCTAACAAAGCTAGGACTCAGATCTCAGGGCTTTGTTTTTATGTCTCCACCTTTCCAATTTGTATGCTTCTGTTTCAAAATGATGAATCAAGTATGTTCTCGGTAGAAGTCAAGAAACAGAGAACGGGGCAACCCTCTCAAGTCCCCTCCCACTGTGGGAGTTTTTTTGTCCTCTCAATAAACCCTGCTTTCTATAATAAAGCATGAATGCTTTCCCATCATAGAGAGCTCCACAGATACACACTTTTCTTGGTAGTGAAAGGGGGAAAAAAACATCAATGGCCTGCCAAAATAAAAAGCTAGAACTTGAGGGTATCTGATTTAGAAACTTTAGGCCCTGTAAACATCTTCAACAAGACATGAGAGAGGAGCAAACAGAAAAATCCTCCCTAGTATATATGTGGCGAAGTCTATGATGAAGCAGAGTTCAAACTGTCTACTGTAAAAATGAAAATCAAAATACTATACTTAGAAAAAAGGTTGATTCTAGGACTGGGGTGCTGAAGGCTCAAGATAAACCAAGAATGTCTTCCTGTATCCCTAAGTAAGGAAGTGATCAAAGACTGACAGGGACATGTCATAAGGATACAAGAACCACCCAAAAGGAGTCCCTATCGGCCAGTCTGGGGCAATTCAAGCTCCAAAATAAGTAATAACATTAACTGATCTTTTTTTAAAAATTAAAGTACAAAACAAAAAAAGCCAATTATTTTGGCTTATACCATCTAATTCATGATATCCCAATATAAATAATGTCCCTCCAAACACAGATACATTTTGCCAATTATTATTTTTTTTTTGAGATAGGATCTTGCTCTGTTACCTAGGCCAGAGTGCAGTGGCATAATCACAGCACACTGCAGCCTCAAAGTCCTGGGTTCAAGAACATTCTCTTGCAGCTCTATTCACAATAGCAAAAACATGGAACTAACCATGTTGCCCATCAAAGCTGAACTGGATAAAAAAAAAATGTGGTACATATACACAATGGAATATTATGTAGCCATAAGAAGGACAAATATATGGACTTTGCAGCAACTTGGATGGATTTGAAGTCAATCATGCTCAATGATCTATCACAGAAACAAAGAACAGAGTACCATATGTTCTCATTCATAAGCAGAACTTGAACAATTATAATACTCTAAGAAAGCATTTGGCAATAATGGGAAGCTGTCAGGGGAGAGGGGTGGGATTGGCAGTTGAGGGAAACTGCTAGGGGAGGGAGGGGCACACCTCATCAACAAGGGTACCTGCATAATCAATGTTTGTATACCTAACTCTGAATTATACCCCACATCTTTATATTTAAAAATATAATAACAAAAAGAAAAAATTAAAAAAAAAAAAGAACCCCACCTCAGCCTCTCAAGTAGCTGGAACTATTGTACATGCCATCACACCTAACTAGTTTAAAAAAAATTCTTTTTTTGTAGAGATGGGAGTCTCTCTACATTGCTCTGGCTATTCTTGAACTCCTGGCCGCAAGCAATCTTCCAAACTTGGCCTTCCAAAGCACTGGATTTACAGACATGAGCCACCACATTGGGCCTTATTTTTAATGATACTAAGGTAATGTTAAAGAAACAGACACCAAACTCTTCATATTACAAATTCTCTGCAAAATTCATATTCCAGCTACAGAACATTCAACTAAGGGTGAATTTATATTTCTATACAGCTTATCAAAGTTGTTAAAAAAAACAGTTCTTTTAAGGTTGAAATTTTGACACTGAACTGTTCTTATCACCTGTAAGATGTCACAATGACAATCTTCTCCTGTCCCTACCTGAAGCCCACACGACAGCAGTTTTCCACGCAAAGCCTCTAACTGGGCATTGTAAAGCAGAGCCTTCAGGTCAGCACCGGTGAAGGAGTCGGTGACTGCCGCCACTTGCTGAAGGTCAACGTTCTCAGCCAGAGGCAGAGAGTTACTGAGAACGTTCAAAATCTCAAGACGTGACACCTGAGAGAGGAAAAATAACTGATTTAACAAAAAAAGATTTTCTTGAACTGTGTATCTTAGGGTTGTATTATTTAATGTTATGATATTGATTAACTTTATATACCTAATAAGCTTTATAAGTAAGTTATACGTTAGAGAAATGTACCAACTGTTTTTCTTCCTTGGAACTTTTTCCCTAACAGAAGGAGCATAGGTAGAAACATGAATGAAAATTGGGCTGGGCACAGTGACTCACACCTGATATCCCAGCACTTTGGGAGGGGAGGTGGGAGGATCATAGGAGTTCAAGACCAGCCTGGGCAACACAGTGAGAGACCTTGTCTCTACAAAACTTTTTTTTTTTTTTTTGAGTTGGAGTCTCACTCTGTTGCCCAGACTGGAGTGCAGTGCGTGCTCCCGGCCACCGCAGCCTCGACCTGCTGGGCTCCGGCAATCCTTCTGCCTCAGCTTTCCAAGTAGCCGGAATTACAGGCATGCACTACCACACCCAGCTGATTTTTTGATTTACTGTAGAGATGAGGTCTTGCTGCCCAGGCGGGTTTCAAACCCGCAGGCTCAGGCATTGCACTCACCTCAGCCTCCTAAAGGCGCAGGATTACAGGCTGAGCCACCGAGCCCGGCTAAAACATTTTTTTAAATGAGTGAAAAATCAACATTCTTAACTATTCAGTGTAAATAGTTTCTTATTCAGACAGTACTTATTTTCTAGATTTGGACAAGTGTGCCAAGAAAGTATTTCAAAAGAAAAAGAAAAATAATTTAAATAATAATAAATGTGACATATATTCAAATGTTTTATACCTTTCACTATTCACTTGTCTCTCTGTTCCTTCATTCATTTATTCAGTTTCTAAATTTGAGAACAAGAGCTGGAACAATATGGGGCTTGGAACAGCCAAAAAGTCCTATCTCTGTGCAGCCTGCTGTCATGCTTCCTATTCAGATGCCTGATTCCGCATCAGAGTTTTTTGACAGGATAAAGGGATATGTGATCTTTGAACACAGAGAATGTAGACATATCACACTTGACATTTCTGGCCTTTTCTTCCAATTAGTCAACAGTGAAAACTATAAAGTTCTTAGATGTGCATGGACATAGTGAGGCCACAAAGATTCTAATTCAGAATTAGAAAATAAAAAAAGATTGTAATTCAGAATCTTCTGATGCCCTGATCAAGCCATGACTAAGGCCATTGTCTCTGAAAGCTGGTCTTCTGAGGACAACAGCCATGACCTGGCAGAAGTAAGTTCACGAGGAAAGAGTATGTTTGTTGGGTTTTGGACTCTAAATATGAAACTGTCACCTGGTCAGGAGGAGGACAGTAGACGCATTTATCGAGACGCCCGGGCCTGAGCAGGGCAGGGTCAATCAAGTCAGGGCGACTAGTAGCAGCCAGTACATAAACACCTGAGGAAAAAAGAACTTTTTTACTAAACCTGGTGAAATTGTGTTCTAACAGCATATTCTTTTTTTTTTTTTTTTTTTTGAGTTGGAGTCTCACTCTGTCACCCAGACTGGAGTGCAGTGGCTGCTCCCGGCCACCGCAGCCTCGACCTGCTGGACTTCGGCGATTCTTCCACCTCAGCCTTCCGAGTAGCCGGAATTACAGGCATGCGCTACCACGCCCGGCTGATTTTTTGATTTATTGTAGAGATGAGGTCTTGCTGCCCAGGCGGGTCTCGAACCCGCGGGCTCCGGCAATCCACTCACCTCAGCCTCCCAAAAGCGCGGGATTACAGGCTGAGCCACCGAGCCCGGCTACAGCATATTCTTATTTATAAATTACCCTGTAAGCCTTCCACTCCATCCAACTGAGTCAGCAGCTGGTTGACAACTCGGTCTGTAACACCTGTATTATCATGGCCCCGCCGAGGAGCAATGGATTCAAATTCGTCAAAGAAAAGAATGCAGGGCTTTGCAGCCTGTGCTCTGGGAAAAACAAACAACATTCCATGTTTGAATCAGGCTTCAAAGTTTGCAAATAAATTTCACATACATGTATGCACATATTTGTATAGTTATTTTAATCTTCACAACAATCCCTTAAAGAAGGCAAGGCATAGGTAATTTTCCTCATTTTTCAGGAAACTGGGTCTTAGAGAGGCCAACATGTTCCTTAAGGTCCAAGCCTTTGGGACTAACGGACCAAAACAAAAACCTGAGTCTTAGTGACACACTCCTTTGATTCCTATCGCAGTGACTATTTTTATGTATGCTTATTGACCACCTTTATTTCTTTTGTGAAAATGCCTATTAATTTTTATGCCCATTCAAAATTTGGCAAACTCATATGTTCTTATTGTTTTATATGGGCTCTATAAAATATAATTTATTTTACATTTTTTATCATTTGAACTTTTACTTTTATTCTTTTTTGGTTTGGGATCTCACTCTGTTGCCCTGGTTGGAGTGCAGTGGCATGAGCATGGCTCACCTGCTCCTGGGCTCAAGCAATCCTCAAGCCTTAGTCTCTTAGGTAGCTTGGACTGCAGGTGCATACCATTATACCCGGCTAATTTTTATAGGGTCTCGCTATGTTGCCCAGGCTGGTCTTGAACTCTGAGCCCAAGCAGTCCTCTCACCTTGGCCTCCCAAAGTGTTGGGATTACAGGCTTGAACCACCATGCCCAGCCTAAATTTTGACTTTTAATTTTACTAATTTATTAACTAAGTTTGTTTTAATTTAAAAAAAATAACAGGCCGGGCTTGGTGGCTCAGCCTGTAACCCAGAGCTTTGGGAAGCCAAGGTGAGTGTACTGCCTGAGCCCACGGGTTCCAGACCCGCCTGGGCAACTTGGCAAGACCTCATCTCTACAATAAACAAAAATTAGCTGGGTATGGTAGCGCACGCTTGTAGTTCCAGCTACTTGGAAGGCTGAGGCGGAAGGATAACCATAGCCCAGCAGGTCGAGGCTTCACTGGCCAGGAGCGGCCACTGCACTCCAGTCTGGGCGACAGAGTGAGACGCCAACTCCAAAAAAAAAAAAAAAAAAGAAATAACATTAAATTCTACCTCTGGCAACAGGTGGACTAGAAGTCTGGAGAATAGCCTCTAAAACAAAACATCTGTCATACTGATTTAAAAAAATCTCAACAGATATTTTATTAAGTGCATGGCAAGTAACAGATATTTTCTGGGATCAAAAAGAGACTGGAATTACCTGTTCCTTGATTGTCTGGAAAAACCTTCCTAGAAAACTGAGTCTGATGTTTGATTTATATAAAGATTTTTTAACTTTACAGACACAATTTTTTTCTACACTTACAAAACTATTCAGAATTGTTTCGTCTTAGCTCAGTTTATTTTTGTCTATGACATTTAAGTTTTCAAATGTATTGGCATAAAGTTTTTCATAATATTCCCTTATATCTTTGATGTTTCTGGTATATCTTTAGTCATGTCTCCCTTTTTATCCCTAATATTGTTTACTCATGCTTACTTTTTTTTTTTTTTTTTTTTTGAGTTGGAGTCTCACTCTTGCCCAGGGTGCAGTGCAATGGCACGCTCATGGCCACCGCAGCCTCAACCTGCTGGGCTCCAGTGATCCTTCTGCCTTCCAAGTAGCCAGAACTACAGGCGCGCACTACCAGCCCGGCTAATTTTTTATTTATTGTAGAGACAAGGTCTCACCAAGTTGCCCGGGCTGGTCTCAAACCCGCAGGCTCAGGCAATCCACTCGCCTCGGTCACCCAAAGTGCTGGGATTACAGGCTGAGCCACCGAGCCCAGCCTCATTACAACTTTTAATCTTTATTATTTCTCTTTTAATATTTTATTTTAGTTAATATCTATAATTTCCCTAATTTCATAATACGAATACATATGTGATTAACTTTCCATCTTTTTTCTTTTCTAAATGCTTGGGGTAATACATTTTCCTTGACATAAGTTTTACAACATCTCACAATTTTACTAGGCAGCATTTTCTTTTTTTCTTTTTTGAGTTGGACTCCCACTCCTTCACCCAGGCTGGAGTGCAGTGGCACACTCACAGCCACTCCAGCATTGACCTGCTGGGCTCCAGCAACCGGAATTATAGGCATGTGCTACCATGCCCGGCTAATTTTTTTGACTTATTGTAGAGACAAGGTCTTGCCAAGTTGCTCAGGCATGTCTCAAACCCACAGGCTCAGGTTATCCACTCGTCTCAACCTCCCAAAGTGCTGGAGTTACAGGCTGAGCCACAGAACCTGGCCCCTAGGCAGCATTTTCATTATCATTTGATGTCAAATATTTTTCATTAGGTTATCTTCAACCTATGAATTATTTAGTTTTTTTTTAAATTTAAGTGTAAGGGAGGATTAATATTTTGTTACTTATTTTAAATTGTGTTTTCAGAGAATACAGTCTATATGACATTGTTTCTTTGAAAGCTGCCATTGCCATATGAATGGTTTTATATGTGGCAATTTTTCAAAAATGCTCAAATGGGCTTGAGAAGAATGAGTGTTCTCCAGTTCTTCAGGGCATTTTCTAAATATGCTTGTCAGATCAATCTTGTTGACTATGCTCTTCAAGCTTCTAAACTTTTACTTCTTTGGGGGCCTCAATGTAACAATCACTGAGAACTATGTAAAAATCTCCTACTATGAAGGTGGATTTGTCAATTTCTCTTTGCAGTTTTGTCAATTTTTGCCTAAAATATATTAAATAATTTTAAAATTATAATATTTTCTTGATGAATTAAACCTTTTATCAATAGGTAGTGATTGTCTTTATTAAGGTTTTTTCCTGGTAAATTAGGTGGTTAATACATAAGTGTTCCTTTTATTATTCTTTAAGCTGTATTTGTATTTTATACATATTCTCTAAACTGCATACTTTATAATACAATTTTTAGACGAAGGGAACAAAGTAATTTTTTTTTTTTGAGTCAGAGTCTCACTCTGTTGCCCAGACTGGAGTGCAGTGGCCGCTCCCGGCCACCGCAGCCTCGCTTGCTGGGCTCCAGCGATCCTTCCGCCTCAGCCTTCCGAGTAGCCGGAATTACAGGCATGCGCTACCACACCCAGCTGATTTTTTTATTTATTGTAGAGATGAGGTCTTGCTGCCCAGGCGGGTCTCGAACCCGCGGGCTCAGGCAATCCACTCACCTCAGCCTCCCAAAGGCGCGGGATTACAGGCTGAGCCACCGAGCCCGGCAATTTTTTTTTTTTAATTAGAGTGCAGTGACATGCTCACAGCCACCCCAGCGTCAACCTGCTGGGTTCCAGGGATCCTTCCGCCTCATCCTTCCAAGCAGCCGGAACTACAGGCATGTATGTACAGGCTACCATGCCCGGCTAATTTTTTAATTTATTATAGAGATGAGGTCTCACCAAGTTGCCCATGCTGTTCTCAAAACCCTGGGCTCAGGCAACCCCCTCACTCGGCCTCCCAAAGTGCTGGGATTAAAGGCTCGAGCCACCACGCCTGGTAAAAGTAATTTTTTATTTTAAAAATTCCTGGGAAATCTCCTCGGGCCCCCTCCGGCTCTGGGAGCTTTTCTGTCTTCTCAATAAATCCTGCTTTCTTAAAAAAAACTCACCGTAATCCCATCACATTTGAATAATTATCTTCATCTTAAATATTATCTTCTATATTCATATGTAGTGGTTTACATATGCAATAATAATTATACCCTATTGTAACTAAATTGGGCAGATGGAATCTTGATTTATAAGAGATAAATTAGGAATTGGAGAAAAAAGAATTTAGCACTTTTAAAAAATTAGAATAAATTAGGGGTAATTATTTGCTTCATTAAGGACCTACTATGATTTCTTTGAATAACCACTTACGATTCTACTTTCAGGAATATTTCTATTATAAATACAAAGCCAAATAATTTAATATCCAACATATTTTATATTTAACTAGTTTTGGTAAAACAGAGAATCCTTGTCCTCTAGTTTATTAGTAATTCACACAAATTACACGTTTCAAACATCAGTTTTTCAAAAAACAAGACCAAAAAGCATTGACTGGTAATAACAGTGGTGTCATTCACAGGAAACCAACCTAATAAAAACGTCTCGAACAGCTTGCTCACTTGCGCCAATATATTTGCTGAGTAACTCTGGTCCCTAATAGGTACAAGAAAATGAGAGTTGAGATAAATATATCTGTAAAGAAATACAAATGTAGTTTTTTATCAAGTCTAAATGAATCATGGAAAATTTTAATATGATTATGTCTTTTACACATTTTAAAAGTTAGCGTGTGCTACGATAAACATCACAGTACAAATTCCATGCTTGGTGTTTCTTCTGCCTAAAACACATGTTCCCAGATACTCTTGTTGCTTCACTTCTCTCAGATCTCTGCCCACATGCAATCTCTTCAGAAAACCTCGCCTGGCAACCCTGCCTATGACCCCCGCCCACCACACTATGCCTCCTTACCCTGCTTTTCCTACTGCATAGCACTTACCACCACCGACAGTAGATGACATACTGGCAGTGTCTATCTGCTTACTGGCTCCTCCACTAACAAAATGTAAACTCCAAAAAGGCAGTTTTGTTTACCGCTGAATTCCAAGTGCCAAAATCAGTCCCTGTCCTGTAAGTACTGATTAGTCATTTGTTTAGTGAAGAAATGAATGGTTTAAAAAAGGACAAAGTCCCAACTATCTCAAATCTTTGGAAATTTCAAAAAATAACTTACTCAAATCAGCATCTTAAATTACTGAAACCAATAATGATGAAAAATATATCATCTTTCCTAAAAGCCACCTGAAAAAACGTTCAAAACAAACTTCACTACATATAGCAAAATCAATAATCAGAAGAGTCTTTCCTTAAATTGGGATCTTTTAAAAAACTGAATAGGTCCTAAAATGATATTCAGTGAAAAATCAGTACCTACAAAATACCAGATATGGATCAGCATATGCAACCAAAATAAAGAATTTCTGGCTGGGCACGGTGACTCACACCTGTAATCCCAGCACTTTGGGAGACCAAGGCAGAAGAATTGCTTGAACCCAGGAGTTCAAGACCAGCCTGGGCAACATCTCTATAAGACCTCATCTCTACAAAAAAAAAATTAGCCAGGTGTGGTGGTGTGTGCCTGTAGTCCCAGCTACTCAGGAGGCTAAGGTGGAAGGATCACTTGAGCCCAGGAGGCTGAGGCTGTTGTGAGTCGTGATCATGCTACTGCACTCCAGTTTGGGCACAACTCAAGAAAAAAAAAGAAAAGAAGAAAATAGATTCTAGTACTCAGCCATCTAGACCTCTATTAATATACTAGTATTTAAGTTTCTTCAGTGCAGTTAGAGAACTATAAGATTAGAGGAGAGAACAAGAAATAACTAAAGTAATAGGAACAAGGCAACACACTGGTGTCAGTGAAGGATCCTCTCTGATGCCTCCCAGGATCCAGCCTGACCCACCCAGAGAGAATCCACTTCCTACTGAAACTTTTCCACTGGAAACTCTGCCCAATTTGTAATTTGAGAATTTCCTAAAGGGGATGAGGTATCCTTCCTAAGGAAACACTCTAACACTCCTAAGCTTTAATCTGGAAAATTGTATGTTTAAAAAATAGTAATACAACATTCCACTGACAAATGTAAAAAGAAGGTTGTGGTCATGGCTATCGCATAATCCAGAAGGAAGAAGGTAGGGAGACAAGCCTTAGCGTTTCTCCATCACTGTTGGGCATCACAATCCAGTTCACATAAAAAGTGACAAAAGGTCAGCAAAGCCCAGCCACTTCCTGCTTAACTAATTTTCGTATTGTAAACCAATTCTCAGGAAGCTAGAATATACGACTCCTTTGCCTTATGATCAAATCACCTTTTGATCAGCGAATATTGCTTATGTGCCAAAACTGTGCAGCTAAGATACTAGACCCCAGACCACAATGAGATACCAGGGGCATACTGCGAGGAATTACCCAAAACAACCTGCTGGCATGTCCCTTAATTACCACACTCACCTTATACCTAAAAAAACCTCAGACCTAGTGTGACACAGCAAGACCGAGACACAGCCTACAGACAATAGAACTACAAAAACCCCAGCTTCTTGTCTGAGTTTGGTCTCCTGTCTCTGGTCTTCTAGGTTTTCTTCTCCCTTTCAGTATAGTCTGTCCTTTTGTTGAATATTTATATATAATTCTATTCACAATGCATGAATATTTGCCTTAAGCGAGACTTTTATAAGCCCTAAAAGAGAGTGGTGGCTCATTACTCAATTTCACATAATTTTTTTTTTTTTTGAGTTGGAGTCTCACTCTATCGCCCAGGCTGGAGTGCAGTGGCACACTCATGGCCACCCCAGCGTCGACCTGCTGGGCTCAGGCGATCCTTCCACCTCAGCCTTCCAAGTAGCCAGAACTACAGGCATGCACTACCATGCCCAGCTAGTTTTTTATTTTTTATTGTAGAGATGAGGTCTCGCCAAGTTGCCTGGGCTGGTCAATCCACTTGCCTTGGCTTCCCAAAGTGCTTGGATTACAGCACACAACTTTAGCTGATAGATGGATCACTGTACCTACCAGCTTTCCAAATAAGAGACCAAACAAAAAGCAAAAAACATAACTGTTGGTGAAGATGTGGAGAATCAGGAAATCCACTCACTGTTGGTGGGAATGGTACAGTTGCTGTGAAAGGACAGTTTGTAGTTCCTCATAAAGTTAAGTAGAGAATTACCTCAGGACCCAACAATTCTATTCCTTGGTTTATATTCAAGGGAAATGAAAATGTATGTCCACATGGAAATTTGTACACAAATGTTTACAACAACATTATTCACAACATTCAAAAGACAGAAACAACCCAAATGTTCACCAATGATAAATGGATAAACAAAGTGGTATACACATGCAATGGAATATACTCAGTATGAAAAGGAAGGAAGTGCTGACACAAGCCACAGCTTGGATGAACCGTGAAAACATTACATAAGTGAAAGGAGTCAGACACAAAAGGTCACATATTGCACAATCCTTTTGTGTGAAAGATACAGAACAGGCAAACCCACAGAGACAGACAGTAGATTAATGGTTATCAGGGGATAAGTAGGAAAGGGAATAAGATACAGAAGTTTTCCAATTGGAGAGAGGCTGTACAGCACCCTGAATGTACTCAATACCACTGAATTGCATACTTTAAAGAGATTAATTGCATGTTATGTAAATTTTACCTCAATTAAAAAAAGAAAATTAAAAAAGATAAATGCTAAACATACCTTGACACTAATAAAATTCATTCCACTCTCTTGTGCAATTACCCCAGCCAGTAAGGTTTTTCCTGTCCCAGGAGGACCGTACAATAGTATTCCTGTTCTTTGTCGTATAGGCAAGTTTGCAAATAATTCTGGATACTAAAAAATAGGAAAAAGAGCTCATCTAAACAGAAATGACTAAATAGTGGCTAAAGGTCAATGTATAGAATAAGTATACAGATGGTGATAACCACCATCTTTCTTTATTAACAGCAAGCACAACAGTAGAAAATAAAATTCCTACAAAAAAGTAATAAATGAACTTGAAGGAACTGCTACAGGTTTTTCCCAATTGAGAATACATTCGACATAAAATGCAAATAACTGCATCAGAATTTCCTTCCATCTTTCCTGTGTTATTAAAAGTATTACATGAAAAAAATAAAAACCAAGTTATGTCAGTTGTGTACATTCTAATGTGTTCCCTTAAAGACAGCAAAATCTCCCATGTCTCTAGGCTGAACCAGTGACTGAAAGCTTCTCAGTTGCCTTCTAAATTACCACCACTCTAAGAACAGAACTTTCTGAACAGGTAAGTCAATATCCCGTGTCCATGTTCTCTCACAGGTCTCAGCCCCCAGTGCTGGCTGCATTCACCTTCCCTAGCCCCTACAACTACTACTCCCAGGAGCTGCCATCCAGTTACATACAACCCGAGGTGCTTGCTCATCCATGTTTCTACCCCTTTGCATGGGTCCCTGATCTTTGCAGTGATCCTTGCCTTCCAGGTCTCTGATTCGCACACATAACCTCCTAGACTCTACCCTCTGGCCTGAAGAACAACCTACATCTGTCCCCCTCCTGCCCTCTGCCTGGTCTCTGCCACCTGCAAGCAACTCTGCCTTTCTAGGCCTGACACCCGCATCTGGAAATCCATCTTCACCCAGCGGTCCTATGGACCTAGATGCTTCTTCCACTGCCCTGCTTACTCCTGTTTCCATTCAAATTCCAGCAGACAGTTCATCTTGCTTTAGTAAAATGTGAATGATTCAAGCAAAACAGAAGTATTATGAAATCCAAATCAAAATGTATTTACTGTAATTGTCACCCCAGCTTTCCACTATAGGTTTCTTATTGGAAATCTTATTCATAAATCTGTTAAAGCACCTAAAATAGTGCTGGTCATTTTTTTGGCAACTCAGTAAATACTTGTTGACTCAAACTGATACTGGGAAGCCAACACACATAGTCAAAGCCAATGATTCAGTGGTTCTTTTGGGAGTCAGTATTTGCTTTTTTTTTTAAAAGTACCTTGGCCGGTAACTGGATGGTATCCATGAGAATTTGCCGAACTTCATGCAACCCACCAATCTTATCCCAACCTAGGTCTCTAGGCTTATGCAAGTTGACATTTCGAAGAGATGCAGGAATAAACCCTTGGAGAGCCTTTTGGAAGTCTAATGTTGTTAAAACTAATTCTGCATAAAGGTAAACAAAATTTCTTTTAGTAGTCATATTTCAATATATGAATTTTCAAAATATGCCATCATCTTAGCTAGAAATGCTAACTTTCTACTCAAATAATTGCTTATTCAAATATTATAATGGAATATATATTTTTTTGCCTTACTTCAATTACATTTCTTCACAATAGAAAAAAGATCTCAACTTCATGTTTTTTTGTTTTTTTAACTTTTTTTAGAGCCAGGGTCTTGCTCTGTCCCCCAACTGAAGTACAGTGGTACAATTACAGCTCACTACAGCCTTGAACTCCTGGGCTCAAGCAAGCTTTCTGTCTTGGCCTACCAAAGTGCTGGGATTACAGGTATGAGCTACTGAGCCCAGCCCAAGTTCAAGTTTTAATAGTAAGACACACCTTCCCGGGTGAATACACTCTGATGAGAGAGGCGAGCGTGTATGGCCCGATCCACAAGCACTGTAAAATCCCTAGCCACAAACCCTTCAGTTTCTTTGGCTACATGCTCCAGGTCAAGTTCAGTGAACTTGCTTATATCACAGTCCAGCTTATTTTTTATCACTTTATGCAGCATTTCACATCTTTGTTCCTAAAGAAAAAAGATAAAGTTCAAATTTTTAATTGCATTCAATAATATATTTTAATACATATATTTGGAGAAAAATCAGGTTGACATACTGCAAGAGAAAGTACACTGGTGGGTGTCTGGGACAGAGTTGAGAAGGCATGAGGTACAAGACTTCTGGGAGCAGTGGAGTTGTATACTACTTAATAATGGTGATAGTTTCATGGTATATATATA